AACCCAGCCCTGGCCAAACTGCAACAAAAAAATATCCGGGCGTTGTGGTGGGCACCTATAGTCCCAGCTACTTGGGAAGCTGAGGCAAGAGAAGCCTGGGCCCAGGAGTTGGAGGTTGCTGTGAGCTGTGTGAGTCCATTGCACTCTACCTAGGGCGATAAAGTGAGACTCTGTCTCTACAAAAAAAAAGTTGTATTATCTTAAATTTAGAATATAAGCATTATTTTCCATGAACTCTCTTCTTCAGTGTACTTATTATTAATTTAGGTACTTTATTAATAGATTAGCTGATTTTGTTCAAGTTTATGAAACTGTGTCTGGAAAAAAGAGGCAAAAATTGTTATCTGGTAAACACTTGGATTCTTTTCCCTGAGTTTTGTCTCCCCATCCTTTCCTACTTATTTGTATGAGTGATGTGCTCGTAAGGGATTATAAGCTTGTCTGTGTTTCAATTCATCATTGCTGCCTCTAGGTGCTCTCAGCTCCTTTCAGTGGGGGAATGCTTAGTAGCTTTGAAGGGATGTGTGGCCAAGGCTGTGAAATGGTGGTCTCAGGCCATTACATGTATACTTACTCACAGACACGTGTGTGCAGGGTGCCCCTGAAAAATCTGGTATAGACTATACACACACTTGTGCAAGTATTAGGATTACTGGGTACTTAAAGGGGGTCAGTTTTTTCCACATAGCTGCCAGAAATTTTTTTGAGACAGAGTCTCACTATGTCACCCTGAGAGTACCATGGTATCACAGCTCACAGCAACCTCAAACTCTTGGGCTGAAGAGATTCTCTTACCTCAGCCTCTCAAGTAGGTGGGACTACAGGCACCTGCCACAAAACCTGGCTATTTTTTTGTTGTAGTTGCCATTGGTGTTTGACAGGCCCAGGTGGGGTTCAAACACGCCAGCCCCAGTATATGTGGCTAGTGCCCTAGCTGCTAAGCTGTAGGCATCGAGCTATGCTGCCAGAAATTTTGAAAAGTCTAAATCACTGAATCAAACAGCATATCAAAAAGTTATTAATGGTATTTCCAAAATTATCAAAAGTCCATAAAGCAGAGTGGTATTTTGCTGAACGAGCCTACTTTGTCTTAACGGCTGGTGAATACTAGTATTTGGGAAAGCACAAAATGCTTGTTTTTTAAGAGAGTAGCAGGGCTCGGCACCTGTGGCTCAAGCAGCTAAGGCACCAGCCATATACACTTGAGCTGGTGGGTTCAAATCCAGCCCCGGCCTGCCAAACAACAATGATGGCTGCAACCAAAAAATAGCTGGGCGTTGTGTTGGGTGCCTGTAGTCCCAGCTACTTGGGAGGCAGAGGCAGGAGACTTGCTTGAGTCCAGGAGCTGGCGGTTGCTGTGAGCTGTGATGCCATGGCACTTGGCCCAGAGTGACAGCTTGAGGCTCTGTCTCCAAAAAAAAAAAAAGAGAGAGAGAGATTGGCAGGTAGGAACACCTTTAGATTAAGAATGAATTTTTTTTTTTTTTGCTCATTTTGGGCTGGTTCTTTCTTGACTTTCATTTGGCCAATGTATTAAATGAATTTTATATTTTATTATTGTAGGAGTTAGAATCTTTTGCTATTGGTAAAGCTAACAGTTGATTCTTGAGCAGAAAGATAAGTGTCTTGAGTGTTGGTTACATTTACTTGGAAGTGCCTATCCATCCTTATCAAAACAGAGAGGTATCTTAGTGCCCTCTCCCACTTGAAGGGAAGCAACTGGGATTCTAAAGCAAAGCTGAAATCCATGCCATTTACAAAGCCCCGAGGTACCTAGAGCAAAGTATTTCATTGGTTTTCTTGCCTTTGGAAAGTTATCTTATAATGAAAGGATGGATAATTTCTCTAGCATACTTTTTTGGGGACCTTGTAACAAGAAATGTAGGTATCTGTTAGTGTTCTATATTGTAAAGTGTTTTGTTGCAAAGTTCAGGTCATCAAATACATATGATAGCAGTCTTAGGGATTTACCCACATTTTTGATTAGAAGATCAAAGGCAAGAGCTTGTAGGAGTGGATGACTGAGCAGCTGTGTTCTTCCTCTGTTTTGTTAAAGCATTGCTTTTTAGATTCCAGGTAAAAGCTTTTACTCTAGCACCTTAACTGATTTCACTTGCTTTGGTTGATGTAGTAAGAAAGAAGAGCTCCCCTTCTTGGGCTCCTAGAATATTCATAGTAGAGACTTTTGGAAAGCAAGTTGTCTGTTTCCTTGGATAAGGGCTGAGTGACCAGTAATGCCTTTGTAGAATGATCAGCAATCTTTGTCTGCAGAGTCCTTCAGGTTTTTTGGGGGACGTGTGTGTGCCTGTCTCAGCCATCATTGACAAGTCTAGCTGGCTCACTTAGTCTGTGCTATTCTAGATGACCTCCCTTTCTTCTGACAGTTTCCCCCCTTTCCCTTTGGGCAAAACTCACCATGCGGCCCACAGGGATCAGGCCTCTGTGTTTGTCCTAATGGACATCATGCTCTCTTACTAGGAAGAGGAAGAACAGGAAGAAGAAGATGATGATGAAGATGATGATGACACTGATGATTTAGATGAGCTTGACACTGACCAGTTGCTGGAGGCCGAGTTGGAAGAAGACGACAACAACGAGAATGCAGGGGAGGATGGGGACAATGACTTCTCTCCCTCGGATGAGGAGCTAGCAAACCTTCTAGAGGAGGGAGAGGATGGGGAGGATGAAGACTCTGATGCAGACGAGGAAGTGGAACTGATCCTGGGGGACAGTAAGTATAGGGCTGAGTTTGGGCTAAGCCTTGGCACCCAGAGCAAGGTCCCTTTACTTCAGTCACTGTAACCTAGAGAGCAAACTACACCAAGGTTCTATACCCTATAACTGTTGATTTATCACTCTGGTCTTATGAGAAAAAGCACTTTCACCTCTTTGGTTCCCTGCTCTTCCATCAGACTGTGTAACCAAACTAAATAGTTGTCATCACTTATCTTTTAAGTAGAAAATAGCAAACTTTTTCTGTAAGGCCAAGACAGTTAATATTTTATGCTTTGTAAAGCATATGGTCTTTCTTGCAGCTCTTCAACTCAGCTGTTATAGTGAGAAAGCAGACTTAGACAATATGTGAATGAATGATTGTGGCTGTGTTCTAATAAAACTTTTATTTGCAAAAATAGGCGGTGGGCTTGTAGTTTGTCAACTTTGAGCCTTAGAGAATTAGCCTTAGAATGAAAGCCAAAGTTAGTTCTCTTTTGCAGGGCAAAGCTGGAGTCAGAAGAAACTCTTAATGGGGTGCTGTTCTTTTTAAAAGTTATATAGCAGGTGTCCTCAAACTACGGCCTGTGGGCCACATGCAGCCTGCTGAGGACATTTATCTGGCCTGCTAGGTGTTTTTGCCGCCGCTGCCTGTTCTGCTTAGCAGCCGACTCTTCCCGGGGCCCACAGTCTGGCCCTCCAACGGTCTAAGGGACAATGAACTGGCCCCTTGTTTAAAAAGTTTGAGGACCCCTGTAAGAAATGAAGGCTTGTAGAGGAGACCTTTCCTATCTGCTTTTGGCTAATCCCTTCTAAAAGCCAGGGGACAGATGTTTTCTTTGGTTTCTGTTTTCATCTTCTTTCCTTTTCCTTTTCCTTTCCTTTTCCCTTTCCCTTCCCTTTCTCCTTGTTTGCCTTTTCCTTTCCCTTCTCCTCGCTGCCTCTCCCCATCCTTTCCTTATTCCAAACAAGCTCCAGTTTTTTTTTTATGGAGTTTTGGGTTTGAACCCTCCACCTCCGGTATATGGGGCCGGCGCCCCATTTCTTGAGCCACAGGCACTGCCCAACAAGCTCCAGTTTTTCTAGTAATTTCCCATTAGGACAAGTTTCTATAGTCAAGTTGTCTCTGGCTATGGCAGTGATTCCTCAGTAAACTAGCTAATAGTTCTAAGAGTCTGTTAGCTCTGTACATAAGTCCTTTTACTGAAGTTGTATTTTGAAGAAGCTTGGTCGTAGGGTAGGGGGCAAGTGGCTTATATCTGCCCATCTACTGTTTATCAGCTTGTTTGTCCCAAACTTGGAGGTTGAAGTCATTCAGTGGAGTAATCTGATGTCTTGGTTAAAGAGTTCGGTAAGAAGAACTAAGGAAACAAGGGACACATGGCAGGTTTTATGACCTTTTTGTCATATGTGAACAGAGACACATAGGAAACAAGTGATACCTCCCTTTAGTTACAGTTAGTTAGGCAGGTAAGGAGAGTCAGCAAATAGCTGGCCAGCTGATAGTCATGCCTCCCAATGTAAAAGAGTTATCACTTTACTTTTTCTTTTTTTTTTT